CTGAGACGCTGTTTTGTTTTAGGTGGAGATTATTGCCCTTCAAACAAAAATACTGCCTTCGAATTTGGAATATGTGGCTAATGAGGTCACTTTGGTAATTTCACAAGGCTGACAGCAGAAACATCCCTGGGACCGACGGGCAGTTGCCACAAGGGGAGTCTGGAGCCCCCCAGGCCCAGGCTGCAGAGGGGAGGGCAGGGCTGCGAGGAGAAGAGGAAGGTGGCCCTGCCACCCCTGCCCGAAGTCTGTGGGGTCTTCAGCGGCCCGTCAGACATTCAAGCTGACAACTGTGCAAAATTGAAATTATGGAGTTGATTAAATGATATATTTAAGGCTTCATAAGAGAAGGAGGTGGGACTGGGGGAGGGAGGAGGGGGTGGAGAGAGATGGAGGGGGGACAGAGGGCAGAGAGAGAGAGAGGGAGAGAGAGAGAGAGAGAGAGGACAGAGGGAAGGAAGGAGGGGAGAATGGGGGGCAGGAGAGACAGAGAGAGCTGAGCACCACATGGAGAAAGATGGAGAAAGGGAAGGACTGAGGGAGGGGGGGTCTCCCTGGAAAGAGAAGGAAGAAGACACGGAAAGAATGAAAGAGACTAACTGGGAGGGAAAAACAAACAGGCTGAGGGGGGCGGTGCGGACCGGAGGAAGGGGCAAGGGGCGGGGCCAGGAGCCAGGGGGAGGGGAGGGGAGAACAGGGGAGGGGCAGGGCCGGGGGAGGGTCGCTGGGCTCCTGCTCCCCAGAACGCGGGGAGGGTTTATCTCTCCGGGAGCAGCAGGCTCAGTCACTGATCTAATCAAATTATTCAGCATTAAAAAACTGCCAAGACATTCCAGTACTTCAGCTCCGGAGACCCAGCTGGGATCAAATGCTAATCAACAGCGCCGCGATATTTATTCCCACTGTCAGGCTGCTGGTGTTTGTTTTCCGAGGGCTGCATACTAAAGCGGAGCAGAAGATGGATAGTCGGATGGGCTGGGGACGAGGCAGGAGGAGATGGGGTGGCTGGGAGCGGGCAGGCATGTGGGCAGTCCCACAGGGCGGGATTGGCACCCGGCAGGAGGGCACCAGGTCTCAAGGAACTCCTCTGAAAGGCCCAGAGTCCCTCCCCAGCCACCTTCTCCTCCTCTCTACACCAGGAGTCCCCTGCCAGAGCAGGTCAGCTGTTGCTTTGGACTAAAGGTTCTTACCTGAGGACTCAAGCTCCAGGACCCACGAGGTGATGTGCCCTCCCTCTGAGCTTTCCTTCCTGCCTGACTTGGTACCCCAAAGTCCATTGCACCCGCCTGCTGTGAGTTCAGTGAGAGAGGTGATCAAAGGAGCGGTCCTGTGTGTCTCCAGAACATTTGCCCACCCTCTCTGTGCTCAGTCTCTGCCTCTGTAAGAAGGCACCTGTAATCCCGGGAACCCATCCCAATCCCGTGGGGGTCACCTGTTGAAATGAACTCATATGCAGAAGCACAGAGCGATGAATGCTCAGTGTGTGGTAGGGATGATTATGAGCTCTGCACGTGACTGTCAAGATGTGGATGAGACACTTCGGACACAATCTAGCAGGGGAACCAGATACAAAGAGCCTAGAGGAACCTGGTGTCTGCACTGCTGGTGTGTGCAGACCCCACTCTCTGGAATCAGAATCGTTCCCTGGATCCCAGCCTGGCATCACTGTAGCCAGGCGGAGTGAGGGTCTTCCAGAAGTTCACAGGCGCCAGAGCAGGCAGAGGCCAGCCCCCCGAAGCTGGCTGAGTGGCTGGGGATCCCACACTGTGCACCCCTCGCCCACCCCCTGAAGGTCACAGTGCCGGGGTGGGGCTGGGGAGACTAATGAATTTCCTTTGTTTTTCAGAGTTTCATTTTTTAAATTACAGCCTTCCCTCCTCTCTAATAAATACTGAACAATTAAAGCTTCTTTTCCCAAAGTGTGATTTCAATATTTCAATGTCCCTCCCCTCCTGTCACCTTCACTGCCATAAACAGATTCGTAAAAACTGCTTTTGACGCCCCAGCTGCCATTAGCCACTTAAAATCCCGTAATTATCATCCTATCATGGGCCTGTTAACGAGCAGTAAAAATAAGGCCATTGAATATGGTAATTTATTCGTAAATTAGCCTAATGAGAATAAGGTTTCAGACACTGTTTGTTTGCGGGCTGCCTACGCCTGCCGAGGAGGAGGAGGAGGAGGAGGAGGAGGCCTAGGGACAGGAGCCTGGAAGGGCCGCCTGCCCCTCCAGGGAAGGTGCCCCTCCCCACACCCTCACCCACCCAAGGCCTTGGACACAGGGGTCACTGGATGGACAAGGCCCAGCCCTGCCTGCCCCACTAGACTGCGACAGACCTGAACACTGTGTCTACGCAGAGCACCCACCTCTCCGGCCAGGCCAGGTGATGCTGGGCCTGTAGCTCTGTGACCCTCAGTTTGCTTCTCTGTAAAATAGGGATTCATTTGCCAACAAATGTTGTCATTTTGAAAATGAGGCGAGGTCCTCTGTGCAACTCCTTGGAAGAACATGTCCATGCACCGAGTCTATTCGTGGTTATTAATTAGCCTCAGGATAAAATCTTCTCCTTAGAAGGCAGGGGTGCGTCTCCCTCCCCCCCAAAGTCACCACAACCTTGGAACTTGGCCTTATTCACTAAGGACCCTTATACACTAGGGTCCTTGTGGTGTAGATAAATCAGAATGAAGGCCCCTCATCCCCATCCTCAGGGCTAGGTCAGGGCCAGGAGCTACTGGCTGGGATCCTTAGAGGGTAGTCAAAGGGTCACCCAGAGACCAGGGGAGACGCGAAGCTACCTGAAGGTGTAGTTAGAGGCAGGAGTGGTGCACCCACAAGCCAAGGGACACAGGCGCCACCAGACGCTGGAAGAGGCAGAGAGAGGAGGGTGCAGAGGCTCTGACCTGAGGGCCTGGGAGGACGGAGGTCCCATGTCCTGAGAATTGGCTTTCTTTGAAATGTGAGCCTGGCCCAGGTCAAGTTTAGCCAGACTGGAGGGACGGCTCCCCTCCAAGGGCTTGGTGACCTTGAGAACCACCTGACGAATACCCAGCCTGTCCCCTTGGCTCCATGGTGAGGGCAGAAGGCATGCACAGAACCTAGGTGGGGAATGATCCTGCCTTCCATCAACTGATTCTTGGACTGTGAGGAGACCCAACTCCCATGCCAGGGCGAGGGTCTCAGGGATGGTCACTGCATCCATGGGTTCAGTCAGCAGGGATGAAACAGCAAGCACTCAAGGGGACAAGAGAGTGTGATGCATACAGGGCCAGCAAACTGGCTGAAGGATCCGAACCTTGATTTCCTTATCTATAAAATAGATCCATAATGTGCACTTCTAAGAACCTGATCAGGAGTCAATGTGATCTGGGGTGTCAAACAGGGTATTGGGTCATACGCAGTAAAAAGGCTGCCCTTGCTCCTGCCCTCACACGACATTCCCAGTGATCTAATTCCTTTTCCCAGTCAGTCAAACCTGCTAATTTTGGTCTGGCATCTTGGTTTCTCTATCTTGTTATCTCTTTCTCTCTCCCCCAGGTCACTTCACCTCCTAAATGCTCCACCTGAGCCTGGCTTGAGACAGATCCTAAAATCAGATGCTCAAGGAAATAAAGACATTCCTATGTTCTAGATAAGGAAACTGAAGGCTGGAGAATGAAAGGACCTTGCCCCGTGCTGCCAGGTTTGCCAACCACTTTGCCTGGGCAGGACGGGCGCTGTTGTTCCCTTTGACCTGTTCCTATCAGTGCCCTAAGGCCTTCCATTTACCAAATGTAGCAACACCCAAACCCAGCCCCAAGTCCAGGACAGGGTCTTCAGTCCCAAGGCTCTTGTGTCTGAGGCCAAGTTCTGTCTCTACCTGGAGGTGGAGGCCAGAAAAGCACTGGATTCTAATCCCGGCTGCATTATGGCTGACTGCAGCTGTGTGGCCCCAGGCAAGCTCTTACCATCTCTGGTCCTTTATTCCTCTCTGCATAAGTGATGCATATGATTGTGAATGGAAGAATTGTCGTGGGATTAACTGAAGAGACCTGGTGCCCCATGAGGACTTAGCCTTGCTGGGTGGGTTAAGAGGGCGAGGGGGCTGGCATCAGCTCCATAAATTCAGTAATCAAGTGAATATTTATAAGGCATTGCTATGAGCTGGGCAGACATGAACAAGCCCTGCCACGGGCTTTGCCATCTGAGGGGGGAGATGAGCCCAACCCTAATAATCCCCGGCAAACAGAAACAGAACTGGTGACGGGAGGTGAAGTAGCTGGAATCTGGAGCCTGCGGTGTCCTGGGAGGGGAGTGCCGAGGCAGGGATCAGGAAACCTCACGAGAGAAGAAGGCAGGCTAGAGAACAGGGAGCAGGTGGAGTGCTCTAGGCAGCAGGACAGCTCAGCTCATGCAAGGGGCCTGGGGCAGGAGGAGCTCAATAGGGTGCCAACTGGTTTGACCCTAGATTTTGGGGGGTGTACCCCTGAATCACAGCAAAGGAGCCTCATTTGGGAATCTCTGGGCTTTTTTCCCCTCTTCCCCTCCTTTTCCTCCCATAACCCTACATTGAACCTCCCCAGACTCAGGCTCAAGTTCCTGCACTCCCCAGGCACTGCACTCCCAGCTCCTCAACATCTCATTCCTACAGCAACGGGAAATGAGGCTCAGAGACTGTTCTGAGGTCACACAGCTCAGAGCAGGCTGAACCAGGGCTCTGACTGTGCAGGATTTTCCCTCCCATCAGGCCTGTCAGGAAAGAAAGGCGCTAACTAAAGCACCAGCCCTAGATGCGGCCCCACCTCTGCTTTCTCTGTGCTCAGGGGTCAGCTGCAAAAAGTGCAACCTGAGGCTGCGGCCAGAGCAGCTGGGATGGGTTCATTCTCTCCTTAAACCCAGTGGAAGGGCCGGGATTTAGCTCAGCAGCATAAGCACCTGCCTGGCAAGGGCAAGGTCATGAGTTCAATCCCCAGTACCAAAAAAAAAAAAAAAAAAAAAAAACCAACAGTAGAGACCCTTGACTTACCCCTGGATCTGCAGCTTCAGCCACTATGTGGTCAGTACTTGTGCAAGCTTGGAGCACCTTCCTGAAAAATCACGCAGCCTCCACCCCAGGCAGTCCCCGTGTCCACCCGCAGCCACAGGCCCTGACTTCAGTTAGGGACCTGGGTCATTTTTCTTCTGCCCCTGACAGAGTTTTCAGAGGCAGCGGCGATGAGGCTTCCCACTGACTTTTGACCAAGCACATTTCCAACTGCATTTGAACAGGAAAATCTCTCTCCAATGCACCGAATAATGAGAAATGACTCTGCGGGTTTATAACTGTTGATTTAGCCACCAAATTCCCCCAGCCCTGACTCGGTCTTTTGAAGGTTTTCATCCAGCATCAATTCACTCGCTCTCTCTCTCTCAGTGTGCAAAGAAATAGGCCCTTCCAAATCCATTCCGCAGCACATTAGCTTCAAGGCCTGTGGAAACACATTAGAATCTGCTCTTAATAGACAGCGCTGTGTGCAGGGTAGCAAGGGCTGGGAGGAGACTCGGGGTGTCAGGAAGCAACTCGGAGTCTGCAGGAAGCAGGACGAGGCCTCCAACACCATATACCAGCACAGAGGTGGCTTCTGGGGACCCAAAGAGGCATGGACAATGGGGACTCCCAGGTGAGCTAAGTCACAAGCGAGACCTGGCCCCTATTAAAAAGTCCAGGTCAGTGGACGAAAGATTGATGCTCCCGGGGCTGTCTGCGGCTCTCACATCTGGAGCAGGACAGTTCTGAAGCCTCTGCAGGCAGGTCCCGGCCACAGCCCACCAGAACCCCCTGGGAGGAGCCTGGGAATCAGCACTGCTGGAATTCCTGCATCTGCTTTCAGCGTGCAGCCGAGATGGAGAAGCAGCGAGCTGGCTTGTAAGACCACAGTCCCCAAGGCAGAGTCCCAAGAGCAGTCCTATCAGCATCGCCTGGGCAGAGTACAAAGCCCCAGAGCCCGGCTGACGCTGCAGAAGGAAGCCCTCGGGGCTGGTGAGCCCAGCCTGCGGTGCTGGAACAAGCCCTCTCTTGAGACGAGCTCAGCTAGCACACACCCGCGAGCCGCTGGCCCGAGCCTTGCAACGCAGGGACTCTGTGCACTCTTTCAGCTGTTCCTGTGTCCGCTGCCTGGCACTCCCGAGTGCCCGTTTTCAGCAGATAGAATGTTCTTACCCACAACTGATCACTGTGCTAGGTACTGGGCTTCCAGCAAGTGGTCAAAGTGAACTTTGCTGTCAAGCAGTTTTCAGTCCTCTATAGTATTGCCAAGCTTATATAAGCAAGGGTGATTTTCATCACAGCCAAGAGAAGCTGTGAATAGAGTTTTCAAATAACAGCCTCAGTTTCTCTCCTCCTTCCTTTGCCTGTGTATACCCAGCGGGAGCAACTAGCATCACTGCTAAGAAATTCATGGCTGGTTCTCTTACCCATTATTCATTCAGCAAACACTTTTTTGGAGCATCTGCAGAGTACCAGGCTCTGTGCTGGATAGTCAGAAAGACCAAGTCCCTTGCTACGGTTTGGATGAATGTATCCCAAGTGCCCAAAGCCCTATGTGACTCTACTGGGAGATGGTGGGATCTTTAAAGAACAGGATCTTTGGGAAGTCCTTAGGTCACTGAGATTGTACCCTTGAAGGGGATTGTAGGAGGCTGGTGCTATGGTACAGCTCTAAAATGCCCCTCAAAAGTCTCATGTGTTTAGAGGCTGGGCTTTTCAAAGGTGATTGGATCATGGGGCTGTATTCACTGGTGGATCGATCCACGGAGGAGCTCATAGCTGAATGTACCATTGCAAGCAGAGCCTGGACAGAAGGGGCAGCGACTGGGGGTGTCACCTGGAAGGCTCCATTCTTCCCTTTATGCTTCCTGTTCTCCATGACAAGAGCCGCTTTTTCCTCCACCCAGGGCCTTTGCCCACGCCTTTCCTGTGTTGGAGTCAGCCGACCATGCACTGAACCGACTTCCACTGTAACCATGAAACAGAAACTGCTCCTTTTTTAAAATGTGGGAACTGTTGGGCATTTTGCCCCTGCAGTGAGAAAGCAGCTAAGACAGCTGGCCTCTTCCTCTTCCTCTCCCACATTGCTTCCTGGCTGATGAGGGAGCTATCTGATCAGCCGTGTGCTCCTGCCGTGATGCGCTGCCTCTCCAAGGACCCAAAGCGATGAAGTCACTTGATCGCAGAGTGGAACCTTTAAAACTATGAGCCAGAAAAAGCCTTTTCTCTTCATAAGTTAATTAACTGAGATCTTTTGTTACAGTAGTGGGAAGCTGACTAATTCATCCCCAGAATTATAAACTCTGGGGATGAGGAGGACAGGCAGGAAGGGAGAATGACCCAGAATAGACTATTCTTTTTAGAAGTCTACCCCATTACAAATGACAGCATGAATCTTCCCTGCCTGGCCAGATCCAGGTGCCAGCCAATTTCTTCCCCATCAAAAAGTCAGGAAAAATGTAGCAATCAGGACCGTGGACTCTGTTCCCCACCACCTGGGTTTACATGTGGTGTTCCCTAGCTGGATGGCCTCAAGCAAACAACCTTATTTCTTTGTATCTCAGTTCTTTGGTCTGGATGAGAATTGGCAAAGTATTAGAACAGTGTCTAGCACACATGCTTTATTAATTGTATGAATTACAAGTATTGCTTTGAAAAGTTTGCTTTAAAAATCCATTTTAAAGCCAGATTACTTTTCATCTGCACTGGGACCTTTGTTTATTCCATGATTGTTGTGAAAGAACCATTTTATTAGAGGGATAATTTGGTTATCTATCAGATGAATGGGCTTAAAATGAGGTAAGCATGTCATTTCATTGTGCCAGTGGCAAGAAAGGAGATACACTAAAATAAGTAGCTGGATAATTATGAAATGCTGTCCCAGGAGGATCCAGGGGTTCCTGCAATGCTTTGATTTTGCCTTTATCCTAGTCTGTCTTCTTTGTGTCCTTGTTGTAAACGTTCTCCCAACACAAAGAGATAAGAAGGTGTTTTAACTGAGAGCCAGGAAAAGACAATATACCCTGCATGTCTCCAAGAGGAACATTAAGAACGTCTATGAATCTACAAACCAGCCTTGCTCTGAAAAAAAAAATGGCTTCCCTCTGCAGGACCATCAATTTCCTGTCTAAACAGGAAGTGACTTCTTCCAGTTTTCTGGACATTGTAGCCAAGATGCTGTATCCAAAAGTGCTCACTCAGCAGAATCGTGGACATGAGCATCAGGACCCAGCAGATAATCTCAAACTTTTCACAATTATTACAGGTGTCAACAGGATGGAAACAAAGCCAGAAGCTGTACTAAGATTCGGCCGTCAAGATCCAAAAAGGAGCATTCTGCTTCCTAGCGTTTCTTGCCAAAGATGATCTCAGATTCATCTGTTCCTATTCACAGTGAGCAAAGGCCTGAATTTTAATAAGGGTGTGGCTCAGTCTCCCGGTCTCCTGTTCCTGACAGTGGGCTGGGTGGGGACAGTGACGGTCAGAACTGGGAGGAATCCAGAGGAGAGAGTGTCCTCACATTTGAAGCCCGTGAAGCCTGTGCCCTGTGATGGTCTTGGCATTCCTCCTTACAGCTCCAGCCCCCAGAATTTGCTCTTTCCTGTGGGCCTCTCCACAGATCCATTTATTTTTTTAATGTTGAACATTTATTCTGGGAATACAGAGATGGCTAAGGCACATCTCTTGAGGAGCTCACAGCTGGGGCAGAGGATAGGGGTAAGGACACACACAGGCAATGAACCATGCTTGTATGAAGCAGGGTATTTGGGGATGGAGATGCATAAACGGGGGAGGGTATTTAATATAAACTGGAAAGTTCCACGAACAAAGGACAGGTAGACTGAGGGAGGTTTATCCGACTCCTCTGTTGGAACCTGCACGCGCCCCTTAGAACTGATCGACTTTGTGTGCTCAGTATCGGGCATCTTTGGGTCTTAGGAATGGGTCTAGAGCCCACTGGGAAAGACGTGGCAGGGTATTGACTTGCCCTGGCCCTCCCTGACAGTCTTCAAAGGTCATGTGTTGATGCCCCAGCTCCCTAGTTCCTCCAGTTGTCGAATTGTGTTCCACAGTGTTTTCTGGAATTTTTCTGCAGCATTGAGCTCCAGTCACCCACGGTGGCAAATGGCATTAGAGCACACACTGATGGGCTTCCTCATTTTTCTCCCTCCTCTCTTCAGACTTCCTGGAATTGGCTCCCTCCAGCACTTCTTGCCTTTGACATCTCGCCTCTTGGTTTGCTCCTGGAGGGATACAAGTGAAGACAGTTTTCCAGGAAACATCCACAGAGTCAGGTTTGGGGTTTCTTCTATCCCTGCACTTAGAAGACCCAGAGTTGGACAAACTGGATTCCATTACCAGCACCAGAGAAGACGTGCCGATGAGATAGCTAGTTATGACGTGTCCAGGAAGCCAGAGCACCTTGCTGACCTGGGAATGTCAAGCATGAGCCCCCGTCGTCCCATCAGAGAGAGTCAGAACCACAGGACATAGCTGAGCTCACCCGAGCTTGTGTGTGTGTGGACTTGATTGGAAAGCAGAAGCCAAAAAGACTACAAAATGGTTGTGTCCTGGGGCAGGAGCAGCTTCCAAAGATGACACAGAGCACATCCGGGGAATCCATGACTTCCTTTCAGAAGGCTTCTCGGGTGAATCCTGCAGAGTCTGAGTATCTCCAGAGCAACCTGCTTTGTGCGACCACAGTCAAACCCGTGATACTCTTGGAAGTCCAGGTATGGCCTAAACCAGTGCTTACAGGTGCTGGACACCCAGGCCTAGCTTACAAGGAAGGACAAGGCCGGGAGGCTCCTACTCCACTGTGTTCCTGAGAGCAGTACTCTCTCATTAAACTTCAGCACTCCCAGAGCAGGTGCGAGACAGAAACCCTTGGGGCCCTCAGAATCAGCTGATGAGGAAGGATTCCGGGCCAGGAGGAGCTGGCTGCCGAGCACTTGTTCTGATATACTTTTGAGAGAGCACTGAGACCCTGAGGTGGGGAGTTATCTGTCCGGGGAGATTTGCAACTCAGGACCTCTGGGGTGGCAGCATCCAAGTCATGCCAGTAGGGGGCAGGAGGTAGGGCCACACCAGGCCTCATGTTCTCCAGAACTGTGTCAGATGCCAGTCAGGTGGCCTTTTATGGTCAGGCCCCTAGGATATCCGGTGATCTGAAAGAAGGAATTAATAGTTGATA